GGTGGGGGGGGGGGTACCTTTTTTTTGGGGGGGCCACATGCAAGTGAGAAGCAAAAAATAAAAATAAAAAACCCCTCACTGACATGACCCGCCCCCCCCAATTGAAAAGCATGAAAAACCAAAGACTCTCAAAACTCAGGGCACCGGGATTCCCCTCGCACTGCAGTCCCATGGTGGATAAGAAGGCTCAAGGCTTCCCTCCCCAGAGCCAGATTAACTCTTCTGGGGGCCTGGAGCTACAAGATTTTGTGGAGCTCCCTAAAAATAAGTTCAGTTTGTGGGAGGCGGCTGCTGGGGAGTGGAGTGGGGATGCAGGGTATGGGCAGGAGATAGGGTACAGGAGGGTGGGAATGCAGGGGTCTGGAAAGGAGGGAGGGTGCAGGGTGGGGATGAGGAATCTGGGAAGAAGGGTGCAGAAACAGACTGGGAGTGTAGGAGTTGGGTATGGAAGGGGGAAGAGGATTAGGGTGCTTACTTGGCAGAGCTCTCGTTTGGCAGAGGGCCACAGGTGACTCCACACTGTGCTGCACTTGCAGGCACTGTCTCCCGCTGATCCCACTGGCCACAATTCCCAGCTAATGGGATGACGGAGTGAGGCTTGCGGACAAGTGTTTCCCTCTTCTGCTATTCCCCAAGCAGGGGGGTGGAGGTGGAAGGGGAAACAGCATCATGCAGAACCGCTTCTTCTCCTTTACCAGGCAGAGCCAGCTATGCAGGGGCTTTAGTGCTGGCTCCATGCTGCTTCCCCCCCTTCCCTTGCAGTGGAGAGCTGGTGCTTGCACTCCAGCCACCAGGACGGGGGGCCAAGGCTCAGAAACTCACTGAGGGAGGTGGGACGCTTCAAGCCTTGCAGGCCAGATCAAGGCAAGCTGGGGACCATAGGTTCCCTGTTCCTGTGCTAGACTGATTTAAACAAATGAGTCCATTTCAAATGGATGACTTCGGAAAGCAAGCACTTAGGGTTTTGTGGTGGCACTAGTCATGCAGCCTGGGATACTTTCTACAACACTTTCCAACACTTCAGTTAGTCTATAAGGTGCCACAGGACTCCTCACTGTTTCTACAAGGGAGGAAGATCCAGATACTTGCCTGTGGCAAGTGGCGGTCTCCCCACTACCTGAAACAATCGCTGATCCTTGGCATATACCTCTCATGTTCTGTCTCCACTATGGGAGGAAAGCTGGCATGAAACTCGTGTTCATGGGATATTAAAAAGATCTTAATGCTGTTTTAATCTGTTTGTAGACTTGGATCTATTCACTTTTTGAAGGTTTTATGGACAGTCATAATGACAAGAGTTATATTTTATTTAACGTTTTAAAAATTTAAGTGAATCATGCAGCAACATAAAATAATCTATAGCAGTTTATTGGTCATATGATTTTGTTGTCCATGTGGCCCTACTGAACATTCTTGTACTAGGTAAAAAAGGCAGGCAAGATTGTACATAAAGAGGAAATGATATTACATGTCTTATTATTTCTCTGGCATTTTCTCAGGGAAAAACCTCTTTTCTTTCTTTCAGAAGAAGAGAGCTAAACGCTGTGGTCGGGAAGCAGGGGCTTCAGTGACCAAATGCTCCTCTCATCTTTTGTCATCAATGGGTGGACTCTTAGCTGAACCTTTGCACCGTGCTCATTTACAAATCTAATAAACAGAATAAAGTGTTTTGTTCTGTTTAATGAATTTCTTCTTCATTGTCTTATGGATAAATATACTTTATGGCGTCCCCCGCTGTAAGTCGACCCAGTAAACATGGGTTCTGCACTAATGTCGTTGACGCTTGTAGGAGATGATGTGTTAAGTCCTCCCATTCCCCACTTTTACATTGTGCAAACATAAAAATTGTGCAAATGGAAGTTAGCTGCGGGAAAAAAATTCCCTGCTTTACATTGTTTCGCTATATGTTCTAAAAAAAGTAAATATATCTTGGATGTAGAGCAGGAATACCCTGTATACACAGAAACCTAGCTTACAAGGGTGATGGGACAAGAAGTCCTGGGATGAAAGAAGCTATTGATATGGCAAGTTAGCTGTTGTAATAAAGTATGATGTTTCTCAAGAGATCATATCTTCTCTGCCACCATTTTGTGCTGGTGCTTTCCAGCTTCATGCACTTGGGAGGAGAGGTGTATTCTTCTCTACTGCAGTAAAGGAAAAAAAGTTACACCTTTTTTCCTCTTTTGAAATAATGCATAATATTAGAGACATGATTGCTTCTGAAATGCGTAGTTACTGATATCCCTTTATTACAAAGTGTGCTGGGATAAAGCCACTATGAGCATAAGCTCCAATGACAACTTGCAGTTTGGCACAGAAGAAAATTGGGTTTCTCCCATAAATGAAATCCCAATCAAGCTAATGTAGGTGGCAAAGTTCTACAGAGAGGGGTGGTGCCCTTCAAACCTCCATGTGCTGCTTACTAATAGTTTTGGCAGGCTGAACTGGTTGGGTGATGGTATTGCAAGGTTTTCTCTCTCCCATCCATTTCCCTGTAGCCTTATGTTTTATCTGGTGCAGGGAAAAGAACATGTCAATCTTCAGGTTCAGTGTAGAAAATGGGGAGTTTAATTCCAGGCTTCTGACAATAGATTGCTATTCCCCTGCTCCCCACCCCAATGTACAGGTATATTAGTGGAAAGAAGTAATAAATAATACCATTTCATTAATACTTGATCTCAAAGTGTTTTTCAGTGTAATACATATCACTTATTTCACTTGTCATAGACATCAAACTGCCTGTAATTCAATAGTATTATCCTCTTAATATACTAATTAGTTACAAAGTTTAATTGGCTAACTGGTTAACCAATTAAACAGGGGTTGAGGGGCTACTGTGGATGGGAGCTGCTCCAGATGGGTTGAAGCACCCTTGCCTGCAGCAGACCCCACAGGGCTAGAATAGCTTACCTCCCCCCCTCCCCCCAATGGAAACAGCTCACTCCCAAATAACCATTCAGATCCCTACTTAAAACAATGTATTACCAGTCTTACTTTGGTCAGTGTGGTTACAGCTGCAGTAGTGGAACCTCCTAGAACCAGGTATGTAGACAGTGCTTCCCTGCCTTTAGTCTCATTTAGATGGAATGCTGGCCTGCTCTTCTCCCCTGCATCAACCTCTTCCAGTAAGTTTCCTGTAAATGGATTTCACACAGGCCTGGAATTTAGCTTTATTCCAGAAGTGTCAGACTGTGCTCCCTTCCCATGGGCTGCCCTAGAGTCGCTCTCCTCCTGGAAAGAAGCATTTGCCTCAAGTCTTTGGTTGGAAACAGTGCTATGTAGAGGCCTGTATTCTCACTTGTCCAAGGTAACATGTCCTACTCTGCCTGTTATGTAAAGTTGGACACAAATAGACAAGTATAATCTAGATTGTTTACATTCAAAGAACTGTAATAAAGGATCAATCTGGGATAATATGACAAAGCAGTGTCTAGAAATTAGAGGAAACATAGTTGAATCACTGAAATGTGTTTTGATATGTTGGTGTTAATGGGAGAAGGTTGCAACTCCACGACTAGAAAGACAAAGCAATGTCTTAAAAGCCAGTGTCACCATTGCTGATGACACGGTGCTGTGCCTGTGGTTCTGCAGCAGTGAGGTTGTGAGTGAAAGTTGGTACTGAGACAGAAGCTGTGATCTCTCTCTGCTGCTAGTCTCCCCATTGGTGTCATCATCTTATTTTATCTTCCAGGAAAGCAGCTCGGAGTTCAGCAATAGTTCCAGCAATAGTTCCAGCCTATTTCCCCAAAAGGATGCTTATTACCATGTTTAACTTTATCCACTCTTAGAGTGGAATATATAGTGCATAGCCAGCTTGCACAGATACAGCCAGTCCCCAAGTTACAAACCAAACATTTGACTGGGTTACGGACCAAACATTTGACTGTAACTTGAAATATTCATAAATCGGACCCCATTGAGTTACATTGCAACCACGCTGTTCATAAGTGCGGGTCACATTCATAACTTGGGGACCACCTTTACGACTGCTTAATGGGAGGTTTGGTCATAAATGCGACTGGTTGTAAATTGACCGTTTGTAACTTGGGGACCGGCTGTATACAGAGCAGCGTGAAGCATGTTAGGAGAATACCTGAACTTTAGGGTAGACACCCTAAATGGCTCTCCACACCCCCAATCTGTGACTTCCCTGTATACTCTAGGGATGTAAAACTAGTTTAAAAGTGTAACCGTGAAACTGCTAAAGTTGCATGCACTTCGGACTCTACAATATAAAGCTTGTTTAAATAAGCTTTATAGTGCAGAGCCCACAGTGAAGCCTCCCTGGGAATGGGACTAACAGGAGCAGCTGGATGAGGCTTTGCTGCAGGCTGTTGGCTCCTAGGGAGCCAGCATGTGACCTGCGCTGGAGGACTGGGCTGGGTCTCCCACGGACAAGGGGGTACCCTGTGGGGCTGAAGTAGCCCCCTGCCTGGGAAGCTGTTCCTGCCCCTATTGGTTAACCAGGACCCGGTAAGTCTCCCCTATTATAGCTGAAGCTTACTGGTTAACCAGTTACCCATTTACATCCCTCCGATACACTGCTGTTTCTCCTGTACAGTGCACAGCTGCAGGAGCCTTTTCCCCCCAGTCCCTGCCTTATGCACTGCATTGGCAGCTGCTTCTCTCTGCTGCAGGAGTAGCGTAGGGCTCCGCACTGTGCAGAAGGGGCACAAGCCAGTCTGAGGGGTTTCCCGTCACAGACCTGTGCAGCACAGGCCCTGAGAACTGCAGCTGTTTCCCCAGCTGTGCCCTGCACGAGGCAGGGCCGGAGGAGGTGGGGGGTGTACGGTTGCCAACTGCCTCAACCGGACACATCCACTGCAGTGGTGTCCGGTCCGGGAGAGTTGGCAACACTTGGCTGCAGGGTTCACATGGGCACCGCCGGGCCCTGGGGCTCATCCCACTACCCAGGATCCGGGTCTGGGCTCTGCCTGGCCGCCTCTGACTCAGCTCCCCGGCATCCCAGCTAGAGGCGGAATTAATTTGGGCCTGCCCCTTTAAGGCGCCCCCTGGGAAGCTTCACCTCCGACACGTGACAGGGGTATGCCCATGCAGCTCGCCTACATCATGTGACGCAGCAAAATAGAAAGGGAGGGGAGCTCCAAGCCGAGCAGCTGACGGACTCAGCGCTCAGCTCTCCCGGGAGGGGGAGGAAATAGCCGCTCTTGCAACCCTTCTCGTTGGTGGGGTACAGTCTGTCCACCGCAGGAGGACCGCAGCCGCCGGGGCTCAGTGATCCGAGTTAGGTGTTTACGGGACAGCCGGACTGGAGCTGCCTGGATCGATTCTCTACGGCTTGACGTCTCAGGTGCGTCAATACGTCACGATGTGGCGAATCGAACGGACATTGGTCAAGCCCCTTTCCTTATTGGGCGGGGGACGTGCCCATTGGCCAGGCGTGAGGGGCGGGTCACCTGTCTCCACTGAGGGAGCTGAGCGGAGCAGGGGCAGACCATTTCCCCACTGGCGGGGGGGGCAGTCGCGGTCCATTTGCGCACTGGCCGAGGTGGAATGGGGTAGCGCGCGCGCGCGCGGGGAGGGGGGGCACGTGAGCCAGCCCCGTTTCCCGTTGGAGGGGGGGGTCCGCGCGGGGCA